TGAAAATACTTTGATGATATTTTCATATCTGCCATAATAAGCCTCTTTTCTGACCAAGAGGACAAAGCAGCTACACAGGATGCAAAAACGGGTACAGCTGTAAAGCAGGCATTAGTTCAAAGTCATGAAATAGTGCTGTTAGAAAAACAACAAAATCCACGTTTTCAAGTTGAAATCACAAAACTGTTATTTTTATCAGCTGGTAATATCACAAGCACTATTCCTTTTAGGGATACTACCCAAAGGTATAGATTCCCTTTGCTCTTAGGAGTCCAATGCACAAACTTTGGAAGCAGGGTGTGCGGTTGCTCGTAGGATGCACAGGGAGGTTTGTGATTTCTGGTCTTATACAAGTTTTGTCAAACCACCACAACTTAAAAATTCCACATTCTTCACTGGAAGAGGAACACTTGAAACCACATCTCAGCTGCAAGGTATAAAAGCAGCTATTAAATATACCTACTGGTACATGTTTATAGGTGTACTAAGGAGGACTTGCCTGGGGCTAGGCCTCAGCGGGTTAAATTGCATCCACTTAAATTAATAGAGCCGTGTCTTTGGCAAAGCTGGAGCAGCAGGACAGAACACCACACAGGTCCTGCAAGCAGGACCAGAAAAGCTCTGTGAGAAGCACCTGAACATTGCAGATTTCAAATTGCTCTTTAAGAGCTGAGATGCTTCAACTGGTAACACTTTTTCTCCTCCTGAGAATATTTGGCTCCACCAGCAGAACCTGCATACTGCCATGTCCTCTGCTACCAAAGTTGGTGGAGTTTCACCAAATGCCAGAGAGGACAGTGTGACTGCAGAGTGTAGGTTTTTGGGTTGCCCTGTTGGGTGAGGTGTCTGCCATGGTCCTGTGCACAAGATGGCTGCTGCGCAGCTCCCTTGGAGCTCCTGGTCTCAGACGTGTGGCAGACTGTCATGGGCATGTTTTTATCTTTTCTTTTCTTCTCAGCCTGGAAAAAAGTGCTGTTATTTCTGGGAGAATTCAACTTATGCAGAGACTGTGGGATCAGGACCGTGGCTTACTCTGTTACACCTAATTAACCCTGGGAATTCATTTCCACAACACAGAACTAGGCCAAGAACATAGGTAGCTTTATGAAAGAAAATGAAGGATTCGCAATGAAGACGTGGGATATCCACAATTACACTTCATATGATACAAAATAATTAAGGGATATAAGTCATAATGGTTCATGGCACAATCCAAGTTCTAACAGATGGGGATACGATGAAATTTCCCCATGGGAAAGTGATTTTGTAATTGTAGAGGTGGGTGTATTCCATTTACTTCTGTATTTATTTTAGCTGTGTATTTATATTTGTATAAACATTAAGGAAAAGCATCAATCTATAACCTCTGGGTATTTTTGCCATTCCTTTAAAATACAGAAGTAATTGCTGCATACTTCTTAAAGAATAAAATGGAAAGAAAAATTAAACCCCTCATTTTTCCCCACCCACACATTTCTCTGCACTTCATATATCCCAACCCTCAGATTGCCCCTCCCTCTGCAAAAGCCTGGGAAAAGATTCACAAGCGCATGTGAAAAATGATAGTTTCACATGGCTGTAGTAGGTTCACATCCTTATTATGTAAATGAGTGGTTTTGGTTTGGGCGTCTCTTTTGTGGGTTTTGTGCAGATGGTTAAATATTTAAACACAGTGGGCCAAATTGTTCCTACTGGAATTTCACTGGCTTTGGCTAAACTACACCAGGAATCGAAATAGGCCGTGGAACCAAAATCTACTTTTGCATATAATGAAATATCCAAATGGGTAACGAGATTGCTGCACAGTAGCAGAGGGGAAGAAGCAGCCATGAACAGATTTCCCTTTGTCTGCTCAGTAATTAATGAAGTACCTGGTGACCGATAGATCTGAGAAACCGTGCTTTGCTCCTGTGATCTGCACTTCCTCCAGACAGGTAAGCGCAGAGCCGCGTGTGCTGGAGACTGATTAATTAGCCCGAGCCAGTTGTAAAATCTTTAGGAAACAAGTGGTGTCTGTTTTCTTTTGCACAGGATGCCCAGAGATGTATTTAAAGTGTGAGAGTCAAAGGTCAGTTTGACATCACGTACTCTAAGAAAGAGCCCTCGCTTGGATCCCTGTTTCATGTTAGAAATACTGTCTGCGAGCCGTGAAGCTATCGTACTTGATAAGAGAAGGAGTGGGATTAATCTGCAGCAAGGAAAATTTAGGTTAAATATTATGAAAAATGTTGTAACTGCGAGATCACTTAAGCAAAGTAGCAGGCTGTCAAGGGAGACAGTCAAGGCTAGAAGTGACACTTTTCTATCAGAGCTGGTTTGGAGAATAATTAATAAGCATTTCTCTTTGAACAGGGGGAGGGGCGCCAGGCTCCGCTAGAGGGTCTCTGCCAAACCAAACGAGCCTGCGAATCTCGCAGACACGCTGTGAGTTAATGCCTGTGTACAGATAAAATGGAGCGCTCTGAAAGGACTTTTCCAGCCTCTTCTCAGCTTGTGTTACATATTCTAAATGTAAATTGAATGCAAATACTTTGAGCTGTTTGCCACAAAGCAGTTTACAATCTCCTACGCTAAATCTGACCCACTGGAAATTTAAGGGGCCGTAGTAATGGTTCATGGAATTCTTTCAAAACTAATTGGCTTGTAACAGTGAAAAAGTCTGCTCCGATCTCTATGCTTACTTATGCCTCTTTCATATTTATTTTCTCAAATTTCTTGTTATAGTTTAATATTTCTAGGTTTTTAACCGATCTCTTCCTCTATCAAAGTTAATGAACGTGTTAACATTGCATTCAGTGAGAAAATGCATAAGCTAGGTGTGTGGCTGAAGTTCTAAATATTCTGCTAAGGTTTTTATCTTCAGATTGTTCAGGCTTATCCGCTTGCACTGAACCAGCGATAATAACGTATCTTTCTTTCTGTCTTTGCTCTGGAAAGATAAAGTTTGTCATTTCCTAGCATTATATCCAAGTGCAGCAAATTGCAAAACAAATGCATTACTTCTGCATTATTTTGGGGGTGCAGCCTGTGTTAAATTCATTTTCAAAATCAGGACGTTAAATCTCAGTCCCTAATTTGTGCCAACAAAATTGGTAAATCACCTTAACAAAGGGCCAAAGAAGTATTGCCTTGATAATAACAGAAAATTTGAACTTGGCAGTTTTATAGATTGGCCCGTGTGTAAAAAGCTTTAGTAAAGGTTGTTCTCCACCATCTCCAGTGGAGTGGTGCTTCATAAAAGCAAACATTTATTTTGCCCACTAACAGGGGTTTTGGCAAAGCGGGCATAGGCAACACGAAATTTAATCCATAGCTTTCTGTCTACTGCACCCTACAGAGCCACAACCCAGGGGAGCAGAAGAAAGAGATCAAAAGGCTTTAAAAATGTCAGGCAACAGGATCTTATTTAAATTATTAGGTGAGATGGCCTCTTGTTTTTAACAATAGCAAAACATATTACGTAGCCTGTTTTCTTCGCTCCCTTTTATGCTGTTTTTGACAGGCTGGTGCAAATTGCATGTAGAAATTGTATTTCTGCTTTCCAGCATTGCTTTGGACAACATTTGAAAACATGTGCTTGTAAACCAATGTAATATTCAAAGGTATTTGAATCCTGTAGAAGCTGGAGGATTTGTAACAGGTTCTTAACCAGTATTGACTGAAATAAAACTAATTTGACGGAAAAACAGAAACCTGTCTTTGGTGAGGCTGATAAGCACTTAGGGAATATAAGAAGGTTTATCTGTAATTCCGCTAAGTGATTCAACTTTAAGAATTGCACATTTCTAATTCACATACATATGCTAAAAGGCTTTTTTGCATTTCCAACAATTGAAATCATTAAAGCCATATAAGATTTTTTTTTCTTGTTATTTATGTTGGCTTTATTGCAGAAAGATAGATGCTGTCCCAACCTGATGTCATACTGCAGAACAGTAAAACCTTTCTCCTAAGCTCTGTGTGCAACCTCTATGCTGCTAAACCCTTGTGCACGAGTCGTCTCACTGACGTCAGCAAAAGCAGGGCTGTACAGTCTAATTCTTAAAATGTCATGTACATACCAATTTTTGATGCTGTCATTTTTATCTCAGATTTTGTAAGGTGAAGCATATGGCATGAGTATGAGACTGGCTGAATACTAAACTTCTCTAGCTTACTAATTCATGTTTCTAAATCATGTGAGTAGTGGATAGTACTGATTTAATAAAGCACCAATTAGCCATGACTGATGTGCTTAAAATGAAAGAAATACAAATAAAAGGTCATCAATATACCCATGATTAATGATCACACTTAAAAGCGGTTTTCACCATGCCGCCTAATTGTGGATTTGCATGTCTGTCAGTCTGTGTGTATGAGGAGTGGGCTGAAATGAGGGAAAAGAAGATCTCTGCACCGTTCTGTCTTCCTTACTTACATTAATGCCTTTGGGATTCTTTTACAGAATAACACAGATCTTGCAGGTTAAGGAAAACAGGATGGGCTATTTTTAGGATTCAATTCACATGAAGCCAGTTTCACTTACCTTATAGAACTCCCTGATTTTCTTCTCACAAAGTGTGTTGGCTTAAGGTAGGTGGGCAGGGGGCTGCAAAATTCAAGTGAGCGGGACTTGCATCCTTAAGGATTAAAAAGCATCAGGAGACGAAATGCATGTTGGAGAGGAGCAAACTTAAGTTCTGGGTGTAAAGGGCACTGGTCATACTGGATGAAAGGCATTTCGCATTCAGAATGACTTGCCATAGTGAAGTGTTTGCTAATATGCTCGCTTCCTCTGGTGTTGCCCCAGGTATCTAAGACAGTTCCTTCATGGCAAACGGGGGGAGAGTCGTTTAGAATGTGACAGACTCATGCTAAGGCTGGCAGGGAATATCGTTAACCTCACAAGTCTTGATGTGACTGAAGAGGCTCGAGATCTGTATGGGAGACAAGTTGGAAAATTAACAGCCTCATTAATCAAATCACAATGTTTTGACAGCTTCATGGTGTGTATGTAATCTATCCTGTATACAATTTGGCTAAGGCTTTTATGCAACGAGACAGTTTTTGCAATAACTTTATGTGAAAAGACTCCACCCCGCGGTACAATTACTGGATTGTATGCTGATTATCAAAGGGTGAAAAAGCATAATCAGCTGAGATTTGAATACAAAATACTGCCAGGATTATGAAGGAGGTAGCACATCTCCTTGTTTCCTATTCTGTTTTACTGACTGAAGTATTATAATCGCTGTAATTATTTAGAAACTCTGGGAGAAAGGTGGCCAACATCTCACACCTGAGCTCAGGTACAGGAAATACTCCTCTTCAAAGAAGAAATCCTTTGAATCCATTTGCCCAGTATATTTAGTCAGGAGTGAAGTAAGTGTGGATAACCTGCTGGGGCACTCTGCCACGACACAACGGAGTGTCTCCCTCAGATAAACAGTTCTCCAGAGTAGCAGGGTGCTCAGCACAGGGTAATTCCAAGTAATTCTAAGTCCCTCAGATGTCAGACAATCATTTCTGCTTAAAAACAGACTCTCCCCCAAATCCTTTGTTCTTCAGACTCCTTGTAAGTACCCATCTTAAGGAGCTTACGGATACACGGTAGCCTCTTTCCACAACTAGGGATTTATGCAGAAGGCTTATTAATACTTTTGAGTATTAATTGTGTAAATCCCTGCACATCTAGACAAGACAACATCCATGAGTACTTCTGCGTCATAAAGAAATGTTATTGCTTGTTATAATGTGCTTAGTGGAATGAGGTTTGATGTAGTGACAAGAGTAGCAAAATGCCATATTTCAATGAACATTTTGAAATGGAGGCTCACAAAAAATACGTAGTTATTTTAAGTCTCTTTGTCCTTCTTGTTCATTATCCATCTGCAAAGGTAAAAAATTTAAATCAAAGCTAAAAAGGTTAGCAACAAGAATGCAGAGCTGTCAACTAAATATATCTATTTACAAAAGACATACTAAATCACAAAATTCATGACAGTGTCACTAGTATTGTAGCCACCTCAGTTTACCCAATGCCTTCAAAGTCTTTCAGGGAAATATCAATACCTGATTTTCCAGGCTGAGAAACTGAGGCACGGGGAAGTTAGCTGGCACTTGGCTTCATTGAGTAGCGATGGCAAAGGAACAGAGCCTGTGCTTGCAGCCTTTCAGTCCTGTCTCTGCCCACTTTCTCCCATCATCTCCCATCTGCCAAAATGACCTAAGCCCCATCGTACTGTGGGCTACCTAGGCTCACATTGGCTTGCATTTGGAACATGAAATCTCAACTCTCTCTTTAATCTCCTGACTTTATGGCCCTGTTAGCTACTGTGTGAGCAGTAATGACATGGAAAGTTTGCAGATGACTAAACAGGCAGCTCCTGGGCAGCATGGCAGTCCTGCCTGATTCCCTTCCAACACTCCTGCCTTCCTGGCCCGCAACTCTCGCAAAAGCGGAATGACTCCCAGCTTCCAACCTGCCGCATCTTGGACACCTGCATCTGCGCTGCAAAGACATGACTGCAGCATCCATAATGGTGCCAAATCCTTACCCAGTTAGTGGCAAAGCTGTGATGGCATAGGTTTTATTGTCCCTGGTGGGAACATTCAGCGCTGAACAGAGTCTATGACATTATTAGTACCTCAGCCAGTTAAATAAAAATAGTTCAGACATGTGTCCCTGTGTTGTAATCACATCTCCAAATGCAAGAATAGCAATTTTTGGTAGAGTTTATCACTGCTCTGAGCAGCACCATTAACCAGCAACACTGTTATTTTCCCAGAGCATAAGGTTGCATAGAAACCTTACTCAGGTTCTTTCCAGCTGATATAACCTTTTGCTGCCGGCATGAGAGGCTCTTCCATGATCCTTATCCCTATGGGGGAAAAAAAGACAGTCCTTCATCAGTTTCTCTCTTATGCCTTTGCTAATTCTGATTTTTGTGAATTCCCATGTGGAATTTTCATGGGGGAAGGGACAAAGATTTGAAATATTTCTCAAAGTTGTCTGGCTGGTCTGGTTCCTACACTGGGTGTGTGGCAATCATGCAAGGGCAGAGGACACTTCATGGTGTTTGTTTGAGGAGAAATATGCAGTAATTGAGGGAAAGCTGAAATACGGGCTGTTGTATGCCAAATACATGAAAATTCAATTCACTGGAGCTGTTTCAGGAACGTGTTCATCTCGACGTGCGTTGGTGCTGTGAGTCAGGCAGGATTTTGCCTCTCCAGTTGTCTGTTAGCCTCTCAACATCCCTTTGTTCAGAGAGAGAGAAAGAAGGACTGGCTTTACAGTGCCCGCGAGACCAAATTTAGGTTAAAGCTAATGAGGAATGTGTACGTTTAATTTGTTAAAGGGTTTTTCTGCATGTTTCAGGAAAGAGGGGGCATTGTTACCATTTCACCCCTGTAATAAAAAACAGGATCCTGTATCTTGGAAATGTTTACAATGTAACAAAATGAGGTTATGTTACGTTGTAAAATTTTAAAGGGGACTATGTGCTGACACCTAGGCTCAGCAGCATGGAACAGGTTAGCTGTTCAAACAGGAAGGGTTTGTATTTGAAAGTTATTAAAATAATGTTTAAGTTTGAGGAAGAACAAGTGCTTTTGACAAAAAGTTTGAGACTCCCCCAACTACAGATCGTCCCCCTGCCAGGTACCAAGCATTTTATTCAGAGTAGGGGATGAACACAGTGCATGTATCATCTGGCTCAGGGCTGGGAGGGATGTTGATCGGTTGGCAATCTTAGCACCGAGAGAGGAAAACTGCAGGCTTCCCTTTCCTTAACGCGCTACAAGGCGACCGTGCTTGGCTGTACCGCTGGCGGAGGGAGGGCAGCTCCAGAAGCGCACCTTGCGAGCTGCCGCGTACCCCGGGAGCTGCACCACCTCAGGCACAGCACGGGGAGGGTTTGCAGCTGGAGGATGCAGACTACGCTGCCAAAAGGAGTCTCTGATTCCTTCTGTGCAAGCCAGACGGCTCTGTGAGCCAGCCCAGGGGGCTCGAAGTGAGGAAAGGGATGGGGCATTATCTCATTTCCTTCCCAGACTTCCTACTACTGTTTAGGGCAATTTATACCTTTAAGAATGCAAAAGGCAAACAAACCTTGTTCTCCCCAGTGCATGAAAGCCTGTCTTTTGCATTATTAAACCGCAGAGGAAAGCATGGCGTTATCTTGCTCAGATTCCCTGCACGTACAAGAGAGTCCGGCCCAAATATATTTCACGGCTTGTCTGTCTGGGTTAGTGTGCTGCTTGCTGTGAGTGAAGGAGAGGAAAGAATCAATGCTTAATATCACAGAGTCTTAATACAGGTTGTTCTTGTATGCTTATCACTACTAAGTAGACAAACAAAAGTAAAAAGCATTAATAGATACCTGACTAGAAGTGTAAACAAGACAAAAGCCATCAAATCAGGATTTTATCCATTTAATTGCAGAGTAAGTGTTTTCCTCAGCTGTGTAATGGTTTATTGCCTTTCAAGGCTTATTTATTTTAATTGATTAATGAAGACTTAGAGCACCACTCCCTTACGGGTAACAAAAGGAAAGAAGTTGCACCACCATTATTGTTTTAATTCATTGGCTTACTACAGGTCTCCTTGATATTTCAGGTAATACATATTATAGCTCCATGTCACACTGTCCATTTCCCTGAGAAGAAAGCAAGGCCAGTAGCCTGACTCATGAAATGCAGAAGCCAAATCAACATCATTATCCCATGCTTTCTCAGACCCAGTAACAGCCCTTTCCTGAAGGCTGTGTTTTTCTGGATCCCAGCTGTCACAGCAGCCAGGACAAGGATGGGAGAGAGTGCTTCTAGGAGAACATCACTGCTGACCTCAGAAGCAGCAATTTCTTTGTGAGGGTGTTAGTCTCGACTTAGGTTTTGCACTGCCCAGGTTCCAAAGACAGGGGTTGTCTCACAGCCACGTGGCTCCAACCAAGATTCAGCCTTCACCGAGTACATGTCCAAATGTTCACAAGATTAATAGAGTATATCTCAAGAAGTGGCACTGATGAGGGAGCAAAAGGAAGCGGAAAGAAGCAAAGTTGGTCCCATCTAATGAATACTGCCTTGACAGTTGTGCCGCTTCTGCTGGGGATTTGAGCTGGCACGCATGTATGCAGTATGGTCCCAATTAATGAAGCCCATGAGCTCTGTGTGTGTTTGTGTTGTGAGCATGTTCATTACCCTGCTTGCTTTCACAAGTATTTAGTACCAGAAGAAAACTATGCAAAATTCTTCAGCAGGCACTTGTGAATTCTGGCAGGTTTTCAACTTAGTTTTCCTTTTTAAAATAGCATAGGCCAATGCACCTCTGATACAACTCCACTAAATTCTGTAAATTTGTACCAGGGATGATGCTGATCTGCTGTGCACATTTTCCTTCCTGTAAGTCATTATCACATGCCTCTCTTTCTAAGAAAGACATTTTTATGAGAGGTGGATCACTGGGGTGGGTTTTCTTTGTATGGCTGGCTTGCCCCATGCCCCAGCTATAACAATGCAGTTTCACTGGTGCTGGGTCATATGGCTGACCCCAGCTAACAAGCTGTTCCTGTTTTTAGGCTACTGGGAATGTTTATTGGCCACTGTTTTCCTCCATTCTAAACACATAGTTATTTCTCAAGACCCATATAAATCATAAGGTCACAAAACTCATAAAAACTGACATTCTCTCTGATACAGGATACAAATGAACTAACTTCAGGATTAGCAGCTTTAAACATCTATGGTATATTTTATCATAATATAAATACATTCATTGAAGTTATATATACTTTTTAGTTCAATGATACACACAATAAAATGGTAATAAAATTGCTCAATGGGACAAACTTTTATATACTGATGTTTCAAATTGGTACAGTTTAACTGTGAGCTCTATTATTTAAACCAATGTCCTGTAACTCTGTTCTAAGCTAAGTTTAAGAGAAATAGTGATCTGCTTGCAATAAATTTTAAGTATTCACATACTTTATAAGGAAATGATGCTGAGGATGCTATCGAATTTCCTAATGTAGATTTCAAGAGCAGAAACTCATGGGGAGGTCTATACTAACTGGATCGACACACTGGTGTGCACAAAACCTGACTACACCTATAAGGAAACACACTAAATGAGCAGTAGAAGTTTTATTCATAATGTCGGTTCTGAAATTGGACAACAAATTGATAGAAAAGTATTGGTAGCAATTGCTATAGTTAAATTCACACAGACAGAGGTTTCCACTCTGCTTCCCTGTTCTTATGTGCGTTGGTTGTTTTGAAATGCACATCTTCCAGGCTGAAAGTTTCCCAGGCTGCTCCTCTGCTTGAGAATGAACTTTGGAAAGAGACAGCTAAAATGATTCAGTTCTTTTTTTGTACAAAGAATATAAAAATACGCA